TATTTCTCTTTCTCTATCGGCCCATATCTCTTTATTTCTCTTTATTTATCTCTATGTATGTTTATATATATATATATATATATATATATATATATATATCTTTTACATATTTCTCTATCTATATATGTTTATAACGCTCTATGTATCTATGTTCATATCGCTATATATCTATGAACATTTATATAATAGATATTATTTATCTCTTTCTCTTCTTATACACATATGGCCACAAATATACAAAGAATCAGTATATATTGTCATAAACAGTTTCTTTTTCCTTTTTTTGAAACCAAATATAATGAAGAATGTATCATTCTAAGTAATCATTCCTCAAATATATCAAAACAGGTCATGAGAAATGGTTTACAGACGACAATGTTCAACACAAAAGCCAGTAAATTGGCAAGGCTAAGTATCCACTACTGACCCAAAATTCTAAAGAAAGGTACTTGTAATATTAGTCTCTTCTTCCCACCCACCATATTCAACAAAAACCGATTATTACTTTTTTCATCACTACAACATGCATTGATGGTGGGAGGAAAACTAGATTCAAGAGTTTTTCAAAAACGTGGAATTATACTCAAAAGGTATTGAAGAGCAGCCTAAGAAGTGGCAACAAATCATCGCAAATAATGGTTAATTAAAGGAATAATATATAATTGTATTTTACTTTTGATGGAGCTGATAAACACAAACGGAAATTGTTTACAAGCCGCTATGTTTTACACATGCTTAAAATAACCACGAAAAAGTGTTAATACTATTAAAACTTCTACTACTACTAATAACAATAACATTGTTCTAATGCTATACCATGCTTCTGGTCTTAATTGATTGAAGGTGTTGACATGTATATATTTTATTTTAATAAGGAAAGATTGGTTACAGCTACAACTAAGGTAGCTATTGACATTGCATTTAAATCTTTGAAGGTCAGAGTTGACAGGAACGCAAGAAGACAGAAGAAATTTCCACAAACGAGAAGTGCGACAGAAGAAACAGTTAGCATAGAACTTACGGTTACATCAAGCCATTTCCACGGTAAAAGAATGAAACCATACTACCACTCTGGTACTGCGCTTAAATTCAGAAAGTCTAGGTACCATAGAGAAATGTTCATCCGAACAATTACCATGAAAGTATTTATAGGAAAGACACAGGGAACCTACATTATGGTGGTTGGAAAGAGACTGAAACCAAGATATCAGGGCCAATAACATTTTTGAGTATAATACGACGTCAATATAACACGAGCCCGTGTTTCCGAAGATAAAAACAAGGAAAGAAATTATATCCTTGCGTATAATACAACTCCGTATTACGTCCATCACTGTACAAATTTTATTTGAAAAATGGAAACATATTATTCATTAAAATCTCAATGCCGTACATATATTTTATTAAAATATTTAATTCTTCACGATATTAAAGAATGGAAATGAAGCGGATGTCTAACCATTGTGTTTTTCTTCTCGTAATTTTCGTTTCGAATTTTTATAAAATGGTTCTGACTAGATATCCCTAGTAATATATTTTAAAGTGTAAATTAATCTCTATCTATAAAAGGCAGGATGTGTGTGTGTGTGTGTGTGTGTGTGTGTGTGTGTGTGTGTGTGTGTGTGTGTGTGTGTGTGTAACGAATGCACGGCCGCAATTTTCGACGGATTTGCACCAAAATTTACAAGCACATGCTCCAAGTTAGCGCGAAGGCCAAGACTGACTTAGCATTTCCCAACTTCCATCGATAGTAGAAATAATCGATTATTTCATGCTTCTACGGCAGTTTTCATGTAGTTTGCGGCCATTTTCTACTGGCCAGAGTGAGAGCCAATAGCTGGCTGCCACAAATAGGAAGATTCTGTTGGCCAGCGTGAGAGCCAACAGCTGACTGAAACGAATGTTAACTAGCATGCTAGCATGCAAAAAAATCGATAGCTGCATTCGTCAAAAGTGGGAAAAATTTAAATCTGCATGACACTTTACTCCAATTGGCCCATTCGCTTGCTTAAACTCAACGTTGATTCTGATTCCGCAGAACTGGGTTGGGTGTGAAAAAGTATTTGTTGTTAACATTCTTTTTTCATTCGGTTTTTCCAGTTACGAGTCCTTTTTTAAAGCTGATCGTTTTGTGTTCATTTTGTTTAGTTCTTTTTTCGCAACAGATTTAAGGTTTAGTATAGAGCTTAGAAAAAATTTTCAGTGTGAGATAGGCAAGAAGTAAGGCATGTAGCAACATCAGCATGGCAAAGGGCACTTCTTTAAAGGCAAGGAAGGGCAAAAATATTTTAAGACAAGTGATAGCGATTGCTGTATGAGCCGTACGATTTTTGAATCAAGCACGAGCAACGCTGGGACATTCTGCTAGGCTATCATAATTTTCTGTTTGGTATGAATTTATTATAGTTCTATATATAAATAAACTATAAAAAATATAAAATGTTTTTCATTACGAATGAAGAGAGAAACAAATATTGGCGACATATCAAATGTCTTTTGTCAGTAATTGTTATCAATACCTGCCTATTTTGTGTTTTATTATCTTTTGTGCCAACTAAGTGTATATGCAATCTTACTGTTTAAAATAAGATGCTTTTTAAAGGTGAGTAAAAGTTAATGAGAAAATATACTTGTGTATAATACGACCCACCCCACATTTTTTTTATTTAAATATTCGTTGAAAATCTTTCGAATTATACAGAAGAATATAAGGTATGCTGTACGCCTGGGGTTCAAAAAGGGGGTAATACCCTACTCTTGTGAGCAGTAGGAAGATCCCGACTCGGTACGGAAACAGGAGTCGGCCAGGGTGATTCGAAAAACGTATGCAAAGCGGCGGCAAAGGGACATTTTTAACAAATAGCAGTTTTTTAAATCTTCTTCTTTTATGTGCCGTGTTAAATGATTAATATATAAAGAAAAACACTTAACTAATTGAGTTCCTTTTTTCCAGGTTTTCAGGTAAGGCGTTTAGCCATCTTGACACCATTTGTCGTAAAAATCACTGAAAAACCCTTTGAGTTATTCAGCTAAAAATAGAGCAGCTTAAAATTGTGTTGTGTCAGATGTGCTGTTTTCCCAACTGAAAATGAAAAAGATCATTCAGGCCTTCAGTAATGGTAGCAACATTTATACTCTGGCTTTCATCTTCAAGTAACCAACAGAAATTGAAACTCGCCGTTTCTATTAACAATTCCTAGCCGTTATCCATTACACCCCCCGCACATCCAAACTTACAGCACCTGGTATTCCAAAACTGTCACCCATCTACATACTGAACACGTGTACTTAACTTCAGTGATTGTTAGGGAATCAGTGTTTCAATATGATGTGAACGTAATTCGGCGATCAAATATAAATCAAATATGGGTGAAAATCAGAAATAAGGAGGAGATAAGGAACAAATCTAAAACGTTTATAAATTTAACATGTTTATCTATTACTAAAATGGTCCAGTGGATAGAAGTGTCGGTTGGATCCAGTGACTTGTGAGATCAATACCTAGGTTCTGCAGTGGTGAAGAAAAACTTGGCGAAGTGAGTTAAAGAGAGATAACTGAGACATCCGGAAGAGGCATGGCACGTGGAACTAGAACAATCTACCCAGTGGACGAAATAAAGGATTCAGTTCGAAATTCTGCTTCTGAAGACCGTACAACGACCGAAACGTCCTGAATATGCCAATAAAGATGACGACAAAAGTCCGAACAATGTAAATAATTAATGGTTGTTGTCTTTTCATTTTGTCATTCGATTAACTAGTATATATATATATATAGATATATATATACGAAATTTTGCGATCAAAATTCTCTTAATAATTGTGTCAGACTACAGATTTATTGATCCAGTCAAGTATATAACTAAGCATAAGAAAGAAAGACTATAAATGCGAAGAAGAGAAAATAAATGAAAGAAAAATGACAATGCCAAGAAAACTGGAGCCATTATTAAAAAATGAGAATTGTGATTATCTATTGAATTAAAGAAAAGGTCTTTCTTTGAGTAACCCTAAAAGCAGAAACAGATCCCAAAGTTCATGGTCGAACCAAAAGAGGAAAACAAATGAAAAGGTAGAACGCGTCGACACCTTTTCATACAACACTCAATGCCAACCCCTGATGACAAATCTCCAACATAGAAGAACTAAAAAAAATACAAGGTTTTTCATTGTGATTACGTCGAATCACATTTAGCTCCTTGTAATTCTTCTCTTAGCTGGCTTGGCCTAATTCCTTTCTGCTTGTCAACATCTCGAAATTGCATTGAATATAACAAAAGAAAAGGGAAAAAGAAAAAAAACACGCGAAGAACAGTATCAGCGTGGATGCTGTCTTTATAAAATGGCGTCAGTAGCGATAGTCTCTGAGCCTTGATATTAACGATTGATGAGGGTTTCGCGCTGGGTCACGGGAAGTCACCCTGGATTCGTGTCGGAAGTTAATAAATGGCGTAGACAGACAAAAGTGGGATAATCCTTAGTAGGTAAGGATAAAAGCAAAAATGGGAAAGATACCGAGAACAATGATATTGCGTGGAGCTAAGTAAGATCTCTTGTTACGATAGTGAGATTGAATATCCTGGTGGTAACAATAGCTGTGATGGAGGTGATATTTGGGAAGAAACGAATGATAATGTTTACCACCTACAAAGCGATTCTTTTTGGTTTTGTTTTTTAAATATTTTATTTCAAATAAATACATATTTAAGAAGCAACATTATTAACGATAAGAACATATAGTAAAATTTCAAATTTAGAAATTTACAGAAAAAATCTTAATAATAAATACAGTTAGGCATCTCAACAATGCTTAATATTCTGCCTACCTAACTGGGTAGATAAGAGATGTGTTCATGCCTTTCTCAAGAGTATTTTTGCGAAAATAAGTTCAGCAGACTATCCCGAAATTTGACCATGGCTTGTTTATCTACACATAAATATAAATGTTTACGCTTCTTTCTATGTAAAATGCGACTTCTAAAAGAAGACAGAATGCATGG